CCTGCAGTGTGTGTGTGTGTGTGTGTGTGTGTGCATGTGTGTGTGTGTGTGCGGGCGCGTGTGAGTGTGTGCGGATGTGTGCGTGTGTGCGCGTGTGTGTTGTGTGTGAGATCAGCGAAGCGACTGTGAATTGTGACTTTGTGCGATAGAAAGAATGCACCCAAGCACAGGCACGGAAAGCAAGACAGAACAAAGGCAATGCCTGCGTGTTGTACCATGAGGAGGTGGAGGTTGACGGTCAGCGTGTTCATGATGGCCACTTCGTCCTCCTCCGCGCCTATCATTGCAGCGCACACCACAAATGAGCGAAGAAGCGGGTGACTAGTATGTTCGCGCTTCCTCCTTCACACACGCACAGTTATGCAAACACACACAACGCAAACACACACACACCGACGACGCGGGCGGCCTTGCCGGTGACTTGCTCATCAATGGAGACCCACGGGCGCTTGCTGGGGCCATCTGAAAAGTGGCCAGTAACGCCGCTGAAACGCCAAGCATGCACAGAGGTTTGAATGAGTCGGGTGAAGCAGTCACTGGTAATGTCTCCACGACTTGGTCGGCACACCAAAGGGCCATGACACAAGAGCGTATCGCTTACACCCCCCCCCACACACATACTATGTCATTGCAAACGCACCCCTTGGCCCAGGCATCCAGCTCCTCCTGCACGATGGTGGCCGTGCGCTTCGGTTGCAAGCCTGTGGGTGTGTGTCATGCTGTGAGAGTGAGAGAGAAAGAAGGCACGCTACAAACAACAACACGCGTCACACGTGGTGTAACTGACACACACGAGCACTCAATACACAAACACAAATGCACACATATTCACAAGCACACACGAGCACTCAACACACGAGCACTCAACACACGAGCACTCAACACACGAGCACTCAACACACGAGCACTCAACACACGAGCACACAACACACACGAGCACTCAATACACAAACACAAATGCACACACACACATTCACAAGCACACACACAAACACAGGAACACACTGGCCAGTGCCTCACCGAGAGAGTTGCCGCAGAGGTAGACGCACTCCGTCTCTGGATCAACCAGGGATTGATCCACTGACACACAGATGCATCGAGCAAGCAAGGGACGTGTGATGGGTGAGCAATGAAGTTAAAGGGCTGGTGCATATGACAGACGTGCATGATGCTTCAGGCATGCCCTCGTTCTCACCGCAGGTGAGCGTCTTCATGCGCGGAACATGGAACTCCTTGCGAAAGTGGGCCAGGTCATCGTGGTCATCCAGGTAAGCCGCAAAGGCTTCGCTGCCCAGCTCCAGCCCTTGTTCCCTTGTGGGGAGGGTGATGAGGGTGGTGGTGTGCGTGTGAGACACTGCATGGCGGCACTGTGCAGAGGGGTGCATGTCCACCAGCGACGCGACGCAACGCAAGCAAAGCAAAGCAAGCAGGAAGCGTGCAAGCACATGGCACAACAACAAACAACGCACTTTGCCAGCGCCACAACCGCGTCCATGTTTGCTTTTATCGTGTCGGTGACTGTTTGTTAATTGGTGCGCGCACTTTTGCTCGTCCACTGCTGCACTGACTGTGACCAACACCAACCAACACCAACACCAACTATGAGCAGCAGCAACAAGCGGTACGAAGGGAAGGTGACGATCGTCACTGGCGGATCCAAGGGGATCGGACAAGGCTGCGTGGAGGTAAAGGGGACGCACCCGCATGTTCCTACTGTGCCATGAGATTTGACTGGTTGAGTTTCAACAACATTGTGTGATGACATGAGTGCGCAAAATACAAACAACAGTGCGCATGCAAGCGAAACACACCATGCTGACGCTCACGTGTGCATGTGCAAGTGTGCCCATTCGCTCACACCGATGCACGCACACACACACGTGCATATACGCACACACTCACACACGCACACACGCACACACACACCAACACGATGGTAGGTGTTTGCAGAGGCTGGATCAAACGTTGTGTTCTGCGCTCGAAACGAGGCAGACGGCAAGGCATTGGAGGACAGGGTCAACGCGCTTGGCAATGGCCGCGCGCTCTTTGTCAAGTGCGACGTGTCCAAGGAGGACGAGCTGAAGCGCCTTGTGGAAATCACCATTGACACATTCGGCCGCATCGACTGCCTCATCAACAACGCGTCAGTGGACAAGGGGGGGGGAAGGCGTTGAAGGGTGTGTGTGTGTGTGTGTGTGTGTGTGTGTGTGTGTGTTTGGGGTGTGTGTTTGGGGTGTGTGTTTGGGGTGTGTGTGTGTTTGGGGGGTGTGTTGGGGGTTTTGTTCGTGACATTGCACCCAGACGTTTGTATTCACTCACGTCATGCTCAAACACGCACGCATGTGCACCTCTACACACGCACACGAACACACACACACACACGCGCGCGCACACATACACACACATACACACACAGGGGCTGGCATCCACCACATCTGCCCATCTCGGAGTTCTCTGTGGATGATGCTCGGAAGCTCATGGACCTCAACTTCTTCAGCGCATTCATCCTGTGCAAGCTGTGCCTGCCGCACCTCCGCAAGACCCAGGGCAACATCATCAACATGTCCTCGCTCGTCGGCATCCAGGGCCAGCGCTGCGCCACCACATACTGCGCCACCAAGGGCGCTCTCACGTCCTTCTCAAAGGCACTGGCCATCGAGGAGGCGGCAAACAAGGTCCGCGTCAACATCGTCTCCCCCGGCAACGTCTGGACACCGCTCTGGAGGGTGCGTTGGTGCTGCTGCCATGGTGGAAACATTCAAGGTTACGTTTGCTTGTGCGTGGTGCGTGAGGTGGAATGCTGTTCGGTGGGTTATGGTGCAGCAGTGTGTACCCATTTGCAGCCGCAACAACACCAACTTGTTGCGTGCCATGCAGACCTTCTCATCCGCATGTCCCAATCCACGCACTCTACCCTCCCTCTTCACACACACACACACACACACACACACACACACACACACACACACACACACACACACACACACACACACACACACACACACACACACACACACGCACACACACACACACACACACACACACACACACACATCTCCCAGGAGGCGCTGCCGGAGGACGAGAAAGGCCTCAAGGAAGGATATGCGCTCGGGGAGAAGCAGCAGGTCATGAACAGATTCGGCACCATCGAGGAGAGCGGAAAGCTGTGCCTGTTCATTGCGGCAGACGCAACCTTCACCACAGGCGTCGACCACATCCTGGTGCGTGTGGAAAGAGGTGTGAAGTGAGGGAGACGGAGACGCTATGGTGGTGAAGGCTGTGGAGTGGAGGTGATGGTGGAGTCGCTTTCGTGTTGAAGGCTCGCTCGCGTGCTTGCAGGCAAAGGGCTGGACCGCGTTGGTGGTGCTGGTGTGGTTGTGTGGCGTCGCGTTGCGTTGCGTTGCATTGCGTGATTCCTGCCGTGTTGCTTTCAGTGGATGCTCACACACATCCTCATTCGTGATGGTCGCTGCTGTTGTCAGAGTGGCGGTGCCGAGCTTGGCTACGGCGTCAAGATCTGAATGGGATGGAGCTCTCGTTGATGGGCCGCTTGCGTTTGTGTGTTTGCGCTGGGGCGTTTGGGTTTGGGTGGATGCTGGGTTTGGGTGGGTGCTTCGGGGGAGCTTGGAAGTTGTGCCTGCTTGCTCGTTCTTTGTGTTCCTTTCTTTGTTTACTGGGTGTAACACGTGAGTTGAATACAAAACGAAAGAAAGGGCAAGGTTCTTCATGGCACGGCGTACCGCGTACGGCGTACGCGTCAGGCTGAAACATCATACACGTCAGCGTCCCACACATGTCCAGCACACACTCTGCTGGGGGTGTGCTGAGGCTGCGTGTCATAAACATCAGAATCCCACGCGTGCCTTGCACGCGGTGTGTGATCACCGCCACCGTTTGCTGTGTCGTAAGTGTCCGGATCCCACCTGTGCCTGTGGTGTGGTGTGCCGCCACTCGCTTCCGCGTCGCCAATGTGAGCATACACGGAATCAGGCTGTGGGGGTGTTGGTGTCTGATGGGGTGGTGGTGGCAGTCCAGGTGGTGGCAGTCCAGGCGGTTGTGGTAATCCAGGCGGTGGTGGTGGCAGTCCACGCGCTGCCAGCTGACGATGGGGTGGGCGTTGTGCTTGAGTGGCTGGGCGTGGTGCAACGCATGTACTCTGCGTACCAGTATCAATGCTTTCGTACGTTGGATCGTGAGTGTGTTGTGGTGTTGCTGCTGGTGTTGCGGAAGCTTGGTGGTTTCCGTCGTCAGCCGGCTCATACATGGGGTTGGCATACATTCCAATACCTGCACATGCGCAAGGTCAGAATCGACGATGAAGAAGTGAGAGCGAATTCAAGACATGTAGTGACAGTGTTCAAATCTTGCTTTGACATGACACCATGGTATACGCATACCAGTACGTGTTTGAGCCATTGTTTCGCTTGGAGACCCGTCCTTAACATATCAAGCGCACACATAAGGAGGGACATGTGAGAAATGATGCTTGTGAATGACTGAAGGGCTACCGCGGCGTACGAGCAGCTTCAAGGAACGACATGCAAGGACGGCGCAGGTGTGTTGCATCAAGTCACTGACGTGGTGAAGAGAGATGCGACTCTTTCGCTTTCGAAGAACGACGAGGATCACAGCAATGAGGACAACAAAGAAGGCAGCAGCGCCAATGCCCACTCCAAGCTGCCACGACGCCGATGTTCTACAGTAAGGAACAAGAAAGAGTGCAATTGACAGCGGTCAGAAGGAGGTGGTCCTTCAATGCGCATGGAGTGCAATGGCGACAAAGCACAGACACACAAACAAGGAGGAAAGCGTACGTTGAACTGCTTCCAGCTGGCGACGCCTCAGCGTGTCCTGGGGTTGAAGAGGAAGATAAGGGAGAGGCGGGCATCGATGAAGGAAGAGAGGGGAAAGTTTGTGATGCTGATGATGACTGGATTGTTCCTGTTGCAGGTTCCAGTGGCGGTGTATCATCCGAGGTGAGTGTTGGCACTACCTCTGCTGCTGCTGCTGCTGTTGTTGTTGTTGTTGTTGTTGTTGTTGTTGTTGTTGTTGTTGTTGTTGTTGTTGTTGTTCTTGTTGTTGTTGTTGTTGTTGTTGTTGTTGTTGTTGTTGTCATCAGCGTCGTTGTCGTTGTTGTTTCGAGCACCACACACAACGGTAGATCGCCCCAGCTGCCATCTGCTTGGCACGTCAAGGACGAAGCGCCAGTCAGCTCATATCCTTCTTCACACGACACGATTGCCGTCGCAGGGTATCGGGTGGAGTTGAAGCTTAACACCGCATGCTCGATGACAGGGGCTGTGCAATTTACGCCCAGGCACGAGCCAGGGCTCGACCCGCCACACCCAGAGCGATACTTGCCAACGGGGCATGCCTCGCACTGCGTGCACGTCGTCTGGTTTCTGCTGGCGCTGTACGTGTTGGACGCACACGCAGAGCACAGTGTGCCAGTTCCATTGAAGCCAGGGTTGCACGAGCACGAGTCGTCACATGAACTGTCACAGCTGCTGTATGTGCACTCATCACAACTTGTGTTGCAGTTGTCGTCACAGCCACTGTATTGAGTTCAAGATGGACAATGGAGATGCAAAGGGAATAGGTTATGAGGGCGAACGGCGAAGATGAGAAGCACGCGAGAGTTCAGCAGAGGGTTGCTGGGTTGAGCGATTATGCGCGCATGTAGCAAAATAACATAGTAGTGTGCACGACACGTACGCGTCACACGGCCCATCACAGGAGCTGTCGCAGTTGAAGTTGCAGCCCGTGGGGGTGCAGCTGCTGTCGCATCCAGCGTTACAATCTGCGACACACAAGAAGGGGCGTTAGCATGCAATGACATGGCGAAGAGTGGCGATGAGTGGCGATGAGTGACGATAAAGTGCGCTTGTACACACGACCAGGAAAGTGCCAAGAGCATCAACATGACGGCAAGCCAACGCAACACTTCTACACTTGCCATGCAATATGAGACATTGACACTGATGTGACTGACCAGCGTTGCAGTTGCTGTCGCATGAGTCGTCGCAGCTTGCTGTCGAGTTGAGCCGGGATGTGCGTGGGTGTGTGTAATGGCAGCACGTGAGAACAGAGGTGGGGAGAGTCCACACAAGTCCGCGCATGCACATAGGAAACACGCAATCAATAATTTGTGATGTTGTTACATTACAGTTGTTATGTTACACATGACACGCATGGGTGTTCTTCTTACATTGGCAGTCGGGGTCGGACAACACAAAATAGAAACTGGGTAGAAAAGACAGTGCATTCGTGTTGCGTCACATCACAGACAAGTTTGAAAGTGAGCGAGACTGTGATTGAAGTGGAGAGTGTGAAGAACTAGTTCTCCAGTTATAAACGATGGGGAGGGAGGCCGCTCAGGAAGGCACGCTCCAAGGACATAACACATGAACAGCAAGAGCACACACGGTCACTCACAATGGGCAACCAGTGACTGCGTCACAACTGGTGTCACACGAGCCGAGGCATCTGTCGCAGCTCTCATCGCATGATCCTGTGCACCTGCATACATCCAATCCAGAGCAGCGTAAATTTGCAATGCGTGCAATCATCGCACCTAACCACCAGAAATGCAAGGTACGTCCACGCGCCAACACAGCAGCTCTCGCTTACGACTGGTCGTTGCAGCCGTCACAGCTTGCATCGCATTCGTTGCAGTCATCGTCGCCTGGTTGTTCGTCATGCACAGTGCACCAGGAGCAACAGCTGTGAGAAGAAATGGGCTTCCAAGCACACCTATCCTCATTGCTGCATGCGCCCATGGCTTTTACTGTCACTTACAGCCTGCGTTGCAGTTGTCGTCGCAGCCAGAGCATGCTTGCCTGCGTCCACAAGCACGAGCAAGAAATACGAGCATCAGGAGCATCACGTTTTCGAGACCGAGCAAGACCTAGCTTCACTAGGGCCTGTAGTGCCTTGAGCCGTTGTGGTGGCTGGGTTGGAAAACACATTGTGCAACTTCACAACAAACTCACCCATCGCAGCCCGTATCGCAGCTTGAATCACACGTGTACGATGCTGTCACAGTATTCCTCCTCCGACGCTCCTGTCATGATGATTGTGCGTGTGTGTGTGTTAGCGGCTGGCAAGCAAGAAGCGCGTTGCTTGCGTGAAACCACCATGAAACTGAACAAACACAACAACAAAGCGTTGGCAACTCACTCTGGGGGCCTGGATGCGAAACAATGGTGACGTCACGTCCACAGGCATTTTGCCGCGTGCGCACAGCTGCTCCACAACAGCGGCGGCCGACTCTTCGCTGCACACGCGCTCAACAAGCGCGCCAATGCCGTCTGCATTCAGGAACGCGTCCACATCGTTCGCCTTGGTGTACGTCTCAAGCACATCGGGTCCAACCTCGCGGCACAGCGACTGGAACGACGCCACAAACGCCTTCACCTCATCCCGCTCGCCGCCAGTTGCACTGCCATCGCCGTGCTGCTGCAGCAGCAGCAGCTGTTGTTGTTGTTGTTCCTGTCCACGCGCTGCACACAGCGCACCCGTGTTGAGGTGCCAGGATGGCATGGCCTCCAGCAGCTGCACGCCGCGGTAGTCGCTGATGAGCGACTGCACCGTGTTCTTCCAGTGGCCAAGGAACGCCGGGTTGTCCACAATGTCCGAGCCAGAGAGCGCCGCGTGCATGAGCGCATCGGCCCACGCCAGGCCCTTGCGCTCCAGCGAGATGGTGAGATGCGACGAGCCCTCCTCGCCCGACAGCGCAAAGTGGATGATGCCCTTGGGCATGTACATGGTGTCGCCGGCACGCAGCGTGAACTCGTTGCAGCGCATGCCACGCAGGTCTGCGTCCTCGTAGCGCGTGCACCCCTGCTGCCTCTGGCGCCGGATCTCCTGCAGCTGGCCCAGCCGCGCAGGGTTGAAGTGCTTGATGGTCTCTGCCTCGCTTGGGCGTACGCGTGTGTCATGGTGGTTTGGGAAGGAAGACGACGACGAAGCAGAAGCAGAAGCACCGTGGTCGCCAGTGCCGGTGTTGGTGTTGTTGTCGTCCACCGCGTTGGTGTCGCTTCCGTCGTTGTTGGTGTCGGTGTCGGAGACGTATGCGTCTGGAATGCAGGTTGTCCAGCGCTTTGAGCCGTGGAGCTGGATGACAAGGACGTCGTAGGGGTCTGTGTGCGGCATGAGGGCGCGCGACTCGTTCTGCGTGGCGTGGTACAGGTGGACCGTGGACTCTGTGCCAAACACGTCGCGCACGCCGTCCTGCAGCTGCTTGACGTGGTCCTGGGCGGGGGAGTCCACGAGGTCCTCGTAGCGGATGAGCAAACCCACGCCGGCAGCCAGCTCGTCCTCCATCTGCTTGCACGACGACACCTGCCGCGTCTCGCCTTGCTCCTTGATCTGTGGATCGTGTGTGCGTGTGCGTGTTTGTGTGAATGTGCGTGCGTGCGCGTGAATGTGTGTGTGTGTGTGTGTGTGTGTGTGTGTGTGTGGCTGCAAGCGGCAAGGCAGCTGACAACGCTTGCTTGCAGGCAAGGGATCATCATCTCAACCTTCTCCTCCAATGCCCTTCTCCCACCACACCCAGGGTTCTGCTCGCTGAACGAACAACAGCAGCAGACAAGACAGGCGAAGGACAGGCACCAAGATGCCATGCATTTCACGTTCATGTCACTCACATGGAAGCCGCCGCTCTGTTGGGCCTGCTGTTCAAAGGCGTGGCACAGCTCTTGCACTTGTCCGAGTGGCCGTGTCAGGGATCGCAGGCGTGCAGATGTGGCATCCCGTGCGATCAACGTGTCGTGCTGATACACGTCCTGAAAGAAGGTTGTCCGGTTGAGAGGAGAAGGTGGTGGAGGAGTACTGCCATCGGAAGGACTGGTTGTCGTTCTTGCTGTTGTTGTCCATGTCGTGGCTGTTGGGGAGAAGAAGTCCACCAGCTGCAAGTGCTGCACTGCTACAGAGCGTGCGTGATCAGGAGCAGGTCGAACTGGTTCGCCCAAAGCCAGCACCACCACCAGCATCGCCAGCACCAGCGCCGTATTCCGGACGACAGGACAGCGATCCATTTTGGTCGTGGGAAGGATTCATCTCCAGGAAAAAATTTGAGGCCCGAAGTTTCCATTTTGCCACCCCCCCCCCCAATCCCTTCTCATGAACCATCCCTCCACCCCACCATCCACCCCACCATCCCTCTCACCATCACACCAATGTCCCGTTGTTTCTTGTTGGATGATGGACGCAACAACCAAAGCAAGTCAGGTAGCGATATCCAAAGCCCAACCAACCACCAAAGTGTAACGCGCAAACCAGATGCGAAGGGGGGTAACAACCAAACAAACGAGGCAAGCAAGGCATGTATGTGTCAACACAGCAGCATTCAGACACACACACACACACAGACACACAGACACACATACACAGACACAGACACAGACACAGACACACACACACACACACAGACACAGACACACACACACACACACACACACACACACACAGACACACACACACAGACACAGACACACAAGCACAACCCGAGAAACGACAAAACAGAGCAGGTGTGAGTGACACTTGTTTTCTGGAACGATAGTGAAGCGCAAAGGCACAAGCATACAAGCAAGCTGTGGTCAGAGGACAGCGCACCGCCCGGCACTGCACAGCTTCAACACCGTACACGCACATCGTCAATGCTGTGGGAGCTGCGCCAGTGCCGCTGGCAGCATGCTTGTGGTGCTTGGGGTGTTCACGCAGCTGGCAGATGTGATGGGCCGGAACATGCCGAGTGGCAGGTCGGTTCCATCCGTGCTCACGCGTCGCTCAAACTCCTTGTCTTCCTCGACACTGAGCTGGTGCAGGCGCTCTGCAACCGGGTCGCCCGGAAGTCGCGGCTCAAGCATGGGCGGCGCGGTGCCTTGGAGCGTGTTTGCCACGGCGTTGAAGAAAATGGCCACGAGCTCCTCGTCCTCGCCTTCGTCGTCGTGAGCAGTAGCATAGGCAGCAGAGGAGTCGGCAGTGGTTGCGTTGCTTGCGGGCATTGGTGCGGCGTGGCCGTTGATGCCCGGTGCTGCGTGTTCGCTGCGGTTGCTGCTTGTGTTGCTGGCGCTTGGCGTTGTGCATGTAGAGTGGGTGGTGGCGCTCCGACCGCTGCTGTTGACAGTGGCCATGACTGTTGGCGCCGTTGTCGCTGCTCCGTCAATGTCGCGCCGCAGCTGCTGCACCAGGTCAAACGCGTCCACCAGCCTGGTGGCTGCGCTGTCGCTGTGGGTCGATGCCGTGGCCGCACCCGTGTGCTCGCTCTCTTCGTGGCCTTCTCCTTCGTGCTCTTCCTCTTCCACCACTACTGGCAGCGTGTGCAATGCGTGCGTCTTAGTATTCCCTCCCACGCCACCTTCGCCTTCAACATTGCGGTCACCACCGTCGTCGTCGTCGTCGTGGGCGTCGCTGTACTCGCTGCCGCGGCGCTGGAGGCCCGCTTCTGCCAGCAGTTCACGCTCCAACCGCTCCTCCTGTGTATGTGTGTGCGTGTGTGTGTGCGTGTGTGTGTGCGTGTGTGTGTGCGTGTGCGTGCGTGTGTGTGTGTGTGTGGGGGGGGGGGAGGTGTAATAAAGAATGAGCGCAAGCGTTCTGGCGATTTGACACAGGACAGACTGCAAATGGGTTCACCAAGACACACAATGACGACTGGTGCCACCAACGAAAGCACGCACACACACACAGACACACAGACACACCGACTCACCGACCCACGCCCACGCCCACATTCACACCCTTACCCACACCCACATACACACACACATGCACACACACACACACATGCACGCACCTCTGCGCGAATGCGAGCAAGTTCTGCTTCAAGGACATGGCGACGACTGCTGACGCGTTGAAGACTGGGCGGAGGAGCAGGCGTGTTTCCACCGACACTTGATTCCTTCACTCCCCCCTGACGACCCTCATCTTCATTCTCTTCTTCCTGCAGTGCATCTGCGATGCGCGCGTTGAAGGAGCGGATGTGACCAACACTGCCAGTGTTGCCGCCACTGCCAGCGTTGCGCGTGCGACCTTGTCGCTGGGTCGACTTCATGATGCTCTGTGACAGTCTCTGCACAGACAGCCGCAGGCCAGCTGTGCCGGTTGTGACAGCAGCCTCGGCGTTTTCGTTCGCATTCACAGCACGTGCACGTTCTGCCTGTTCCACTTGCGTGCCTGCAGGCATTGCCTGCATTGTGCGATGCGGCGTCAACAAGGTCTCCCGGTGGCTGACCAGGGACGGTTTTGTCTTCGGGCTCTTTGGCGCACGGCGCAGATGCTCGTCAGAGGGTGTGCGCAGCATGGCTGCATGCGCGTTGCTGCCGTGGGCTGCGGGCACGCGAGCACCCTCACCATCGCCCTCGCATTGCTGCTGCTGCTGCTTTTCGGGATGGCGACGTGCGCGGTGCACGTGCGTCTTTGGCGTGGTGCCCATGCGGTGGTGGTGACGGGCCGGCGTCTGCTCAAAGAACTGCCTGCGTCGCTCTGCCGCGCGCATGCCAGATGGGCAGAGTGTCTGACGGAGTGGGGTGGTTGCCCACGCATCGGAGAGGCCCGTGTTGTTGACAATGGCCTCCTTGCTGCCGGCATCAGGCTCAAAGCCGCTGCCGTCCTCAGCGTCCTGCTGATGGTTTGCAGCATGCCCTGATCGGGACACGGCAGGGGTGGCAGCCACGGACGCAGACAGGGATGGAGCTGCGGCCACAGCACCGCCTGCAAGCGTCTCTCGGCGCACGTTGACCCCCTTTGAGGCACCGAGCCCAAGACGTCCAGGCGTCACTGGGGCGTGGTGCTGTTGGCTTGCGGCCGAACGCGAGTGCAGGAGAGAACGCTGTGCACCAGGGTGGCGCCGGCGCGGAGAGGGCTTGACGCTCTTTGCGAGTGCAATGGTTTCGCGGCGGCGGCGATGGGCCTCCAGACGCTCGCGTGTCAGCACGCTCTCCAGTGCCGATGTTGTTGGCGGCGCAGAGGGTGTGGCGGGCGGTCGTTGCTTCTGGTGCAATTGCTGAAGTACAAGGTCACACGTGTTTAAGTTGAAGTGGTGGTAGTGTGAGTGGTGTGAGTGGTGGTGGTGTAAGGTGTGATGATGGTGGCGGTTGTTTTGAATTTGCGAATAAGGGTGTGTATGCTCGCATGTGAACAGCTTCGCTTAAGTGACTGTGCGGGATTCAATAATGGTTTCTTCCCCATGTGCTGTCAACCTTACCTCTGTGTCGTTGGCGGAGAGGATGGCGTTGAGTGAGGACGGGTGTGCGAGGAACGCGTTGTCCTCGTTTGCCTTGCTCGCTTGTCCTTGTGGTCTTGGGCTTGCTCGCCTCTTCGAATCTGTGTCCTCGTACACCTTGAGCGTGCCTGGCTCCTGTCGACCGCTCGGGGACTGTACAATCGTGTGTTGTAAGTGTGGTTGATGACGTGCGTGTGAGTGGTGCGGTTGATGATGCGAACGTGGCAATGAATGTGAGTGTAGTTTATGGTGAACGTGTGTGTGTGTGCATGGTGCGGTTGATTGATCCAAGAAACCTCATCTACTTTGCACGTCAGGAGGATCAAGGTATCAATTGCGATGAACCCGTACCGGGGCGGTTGTGTTGAAATGGAACTCCTCCACTTTGGTTGTTGGCTTCTTCAGCTTTTCCAGGCGCTGACCGGACACAAACCCAACAAGGCACAACACAGGGCACAAAATCGTGAGGATGGGCGCGAAGGATGGTATCGGGTGTCGGTTGTGCCTGGATGTGGAGTAGCAGACTCAGCGAGGTGCACAGCGCTCACATTCTGCTTGCGGCGCTCCTCCTTGGCGTGTATCTTGTTCCAGTCGGGCACTTTCACGCCCGTTTTCTTCTTTTGGTGTGGCTTCCTGCAGTGTTTGTTCATTTGTGTGAGCCAATGCGTTGAAGCGCGAGTCACAGTGGATTGCATGTGCAACGTCGTGTGAGTGTCGGATGTGTGCTTACGATGTGTTGATTGCAGCGGGACCACGTTGCGGTTTTGCATCCCGTTGTTGACGCTCACGTGGTGTGTTTGTGGCCTGACTCAGCCCTGTTCATGTCAGTGCATGTGCGTGTGCATTGGGTGTGCGTGTGCATCGTGTGTGTGCGTGTGTGCGCGATTGAGTGTGTGCAGCGTGTGTGTGTGCGATTACGTGTGTGCATTGAGCAAGGCAATGTTCAACACGCACCACTGGATCTCTCCTCTCCCTCCCTTCTTGTTGCTTGTTCCACCGACCGACCTCGGCGGGTGGCTGCCATCGTTGTCGTCGTCGTCTCCATCGCTGGCTGGCTGCGCTCTGCGTTGGCGGTCACCATTCGTTGGCAGTGCGAGATTTTTTGAAGTTGCCGCCAATTTTTTTTTATTGTGGCGACGAACTTTTGTGCTGTCGTCTTCCGGTGCTGCTGTGGCCGGCGCTGCTGTCTGTTGTGGTGGGAGTGGATGCTGTTGTGGGCTTGTTGTTGTCGATCTTGCTTGCTTGCTTCTTGATCTCTCGTGTTGGTCGTTTATTGTGTCGCAGATACAGCGATCGATAAAGGGTGCACAGTGCTGGCTGAGTAGCCATTGGTTGTTGGCAAGACAGTAGCCCAGCACTGGCGAAGAAGAGGAACATCAAAAGAAGAGCACGCATGATGATGATGATGATGATGATGATGATGATGGTGATGATGATGATGATGATGATGATGATGATGATGATGATGGCACATTCTATTGTGCTGTTGTGCCAGTACCATTGGTCTCGTTTCCTTCGGCTTCGTCTTCGGCTTCGTCTTCATCTTCATCTTCTCTGAATTGGGCAAAGTAGTCCTTGGCAGCCTGGTACACGTCGTCGGGCTTGCGCACGATGATGTGCTGCAGGAAATCTGACACGAGGTGCTTCAGCTCCGGGTGTGCCGTGACATATGCATGCTGCTCCTCCTTCAACTCCGCCTGCAGTAGAGATGACATGGGAAGAAGATGGGAAGTGGTGGGGTGAGGAGGAGATGAGGAGTTTGAGGACTTGAGGGAGGTGAGGGGCAGGAAAAAAGGAAGAATCCATGCATGTTGTGCTCCAAGATGGTGCGCGAGTGAGAGAGAACACTCACAGACACAAGATGTAGGGGGACCCAGGAGCCAACAAAGGCGTCAACACAATTGATGCGAGTGTGCACAAAGATCTAGACAGGCACAACGTGACAACACAGAACACAACGCAACAACAAAACAACACACCTTCTTGTCAAGGTACATGGACCATCCCTCCTGGTCGTCCTCCCATGTTTCCCGATCCTGTCGAATAGAAGAAGGGGCAGGGGGGGGAGGGAGAAAAGTTGAGGGAATGAGCGAGCGAGAGAGGGACAGAGGGAGAGGGGGAGCTGCGACAGAGGGAGAGAGGGAGCTGCGAACACACACAGACACGTAGACACACACGTAGACACACACGTAGACACACACACACACACACGTAGACACACACACACACAGACACACACACACACACAGACACACACACACACACACACGTAGACACACACACACACACACACACACACGACACACACACACACGACACACACACACACACACACACACACACACACAAACACAAACACACACACACACACACACAAACACACCATCTTTGGTTTGTTTGGTGGTTGTCGAGTGTGGAGAATTTGCGATATCTTCGTGAACAATCTCACGTCATCGTGCGGTGACAAATCAGCCACGAATGACGCGAACAGCAGTGGTTGCAACAACGTTGTTTGTGCAGGTGCAAGGCGGCGCGTGCTTGCTCGCTTGCTTGATGTGATTCTGGTCTGTGTGTCTGATGGCGTCTGTCATATCATGTCACATCACATCACCTCATATGTGCCCGTGTGACGAACCCGCTTGCTTGCCTCGCATCCATTTTACCCCGCTCACGTGCACGTGTGTGACATGTTGAAGGCGTTATTTTTCCTCGCTGCAAGACAACCACGAGCCGCATTCCTCGCCTCTGCTTCGAGTGTTGCTGAGACCTGTGCTGTT